CTCCCCCTCTGTGAAACGGGCCTCCAGGATGCAGGGTCTCCACTGGCTTCCACTGGCTCCTAGATTCCTTGCTCCTGGTCCTAAGTTGTGTTCATACGTAAATGGTGCATGGCTATCTGTGGGCTCAGCGTGTCTGTGTGTCCTGAGCTCAGTGGCTCGGGCAGGCCAGGGAGCGAACACGGCTGCCAGGTGAGGTGGTCACGGGCTGGGGGAAGGTGTGCCATGTGTATCCTGAGGCCCCTGGCTCCGGTGACGTCTGTTTGACCTCAGCACTGTTCCCATGAGGTCACTGGCTGGCCGGCCAGGGCCGAGCCCCAGCCAAAGTCCAGCTATGCGCATCACCACCTACCTCCCGTGTTCTCTCTCTGCCCAGACTTTGGACCCTGTTTCTCGCCTGGACTCAGACGACAGTGTCTGGCGGTGTCAGCCAGAGAGTGGGGGGGGGCCCTCCTGGGTGGGTGGAGCAGCAGCCGTCAGACCTGTGGGGAGGTCTGCCCCGTGGGTCAGTGGGGGGAAGGGGGAGGTGCGGCTGGAGCCCCCGGCAGAGGCCGGCACAGGTGCCTGTCAGCGTTCTCGGTCCCTTGGTGACACCAGCACCAGGAAGGGCTTGAGGTGTGTCTTCAGTGCTCGCCCTGGAGAGCCGGCTGGAAGGCCAGGTGCCGCCATTAGCCCATTTCATGGGGGCTCAAGGACCCCAGGAGTCTGGCCCATAGTTGCTCAGTCAGGGGCATGTGCGAGGTGCTGGTGCAGGCCCCCTTCCCCGGGGTGGGGGGGTGGAGCTGGTGGCTCCCTGACCCTGAGCAGAGACCTCCTGGGGCACTCAGGGAGCTGGGCCGGACCCTCCCGGAGCCCCTTAGGGCGCATGGATGCCCGTACTTTTCTCCTGCAGATCATGGTTCCACCTTCTGTTCAAAAATGTGACTTCTTAGAACAAAGAAGTGCTTAGCAGGTTCTGTTTCTCCAAACGTGTGTTTTCTTTCCATTCCTGGGGCTTTCAAAGGGAAGTGCCCAGGACCCCAGGACCCCAGAGGGCCCGCAGAGCCCTGCTCCGCGACAGGCCTCGATGCCACCCGGGGTTGGAGACCAGCGGTCCCTGCGGACCAGGGCCCAGTGCTGCGGCCATTCAGAGCAGCCCCAGGAGGTGCTGTGCATGTCCCTTCCCTCTCTGAGGAAACTGAGGCACTGAGTTTTACTTATCGGCAGCGGTTCCCATTCTGGTAGTAATAAAGGCGCCCACCCCACCAGGTCACGCCTTGAGTTGTGGCCCATGGGGTGGAGCAGTCTGGTGGGTCAGGGAGGCAGGAATGAGACGAAATGCACCTCCCGCCCCTGCTCCTGTACCCTCTTCCTTCTGGAGTGAGTTTGTCCTGCCTCACCCAGGAGAGAGTAGACGTAGCCCTGGCCCTGGGGAAGGATAGAATTCCCTCCCAGGTGGGCCTGACGGCCTCACGCAGCTCTTTGAAGACCAGCCCAGGGATCAAAGAAGGCAAGTGGGCACTGCTGTCATTCGCCACCTCAAGTCTGACCTACAGCTGTGATCTCACCTTCCCACCCAGGAACCCACTCAGCTGAGGCCTCCCCGCCACTGTCTGTGGAGGTCTCTTCCCCTGGGTGGGGGATGCAGGGTTGTCAGTCATGCTTGGCCTGGTCTCCCAGACCCTCCGTGCAGCCTGCCGGATAGCGGGGTGGCTGGGGTGAGGTGGGCGAGCGCTCCTGCCCACAGTGAGAGGTTCGGCGGGAGGAGTGGGCAGTGAGCTGGGTGGAGAAGCAGGAGAAGCGGCAAAGGTGCCAATGCCGAGAGCAGCCTCCTGGGCAGGGTGGGGGTCTGGGGCCTTCCTGGAGGAAGGGACATAGGATGCCAGGCCTTGAAAGATGAGAGGGACCGGGTGGTGCAGGCAGACGCAGGGCGCTGAGAAGGGCCTGCAGGGCAGCTGAAGGTGACGGTTCTCGAGATCGGGGTGGGGTGGGGTGGGGACTGAGCCCTGTTGGGCAGGCTCCTTGCCCCCGCCCAGCTCCCCCGTGGGCGCCCCTGTGGAGCTGTGCCAAGGTCAGTCCGGGTGTCCAGGAGTCGTCCCAGCCCTCCACCTGCTGCCACACGTAATGAGAGGGTTTCCATTATTTTCGGGTGAGCGCCCCTGGCAGATGCGACAGCCAGCAGATGTGTGAGGTCCGAGGTGATTTGCAAGGGACCGGTTCCTGTGATGCACAGTAATTGCCCCAGGCGACGGCGTTGTCACTCAGAGGTTGTCCTGGCCTGCCAGGGTGAGGTAGAGGTCAGTTCAAAGATCTGGTGTGGCCGCAGGAAGTCAGAGGACCCCCACAGGGCTCCTGGGGAGGGGGCAGCCGGCTGAGGCAGTGGCTGTGGTCTCAGGGGCTGTCTGGCCAGAGCCCCGCTCTGGGCTGGGGGAGCCCTGCAGCAGGCCCCTGTCCCCAGGTTTTAGGTGTTGGGGCGATGCTGTGCCTGCCCTGGAGCTGGGCTTGTCCCTGGTGCCGAAATCCCCTGGAGTCACTCCCCTGGGGGCCCTGCAGGGTGCGTGGCGGCTCGGAGGCCGAGCCTGGCCCGGGCTTTCCCAACCCTCTGAATGCCCATGTTCCTGGCCTCTCGAGACCCCATCTGTGACCCCACTAAGAGCTGCCGAGGGTGTGGCTCCTCGGCTGAGTCGGTTTGGGCGGCCGTAACAACAGCACGTACTGGGGGCTTTAACCACAATTCCATTTTCCCGGAGTTCCGAAGGCTGCACATCCAGGATCGAGGTGCCAGCCGGGCCAGCTCTGGCGGGAGTTCTCTTCCTGTATGGCAGGCATCCACCTTCTCGCCGTGGCCACCCCTTTGTGCAGCAGAGAGAGGGCTCTCTGGTGTCCTCTTAAAAGGACGCTACTTCTACCCTAGCACATCCCCACCCTTGACCTCATTCGACACAGTTCAGGCCCCTGCATTAGCCATTCAGGGGCCCACCTTCAGTGCTGACCCATCATCTCACGCTTTCTGTCCCTGGTGCACACCTGGGTGTGCCCCGTGCACACCCCTGCTCACCTGGAGAGTGTCGATTTCTTTTCCAGCAGGAAGAGCTGTTCCTGGGCTGCTGGGCCTTGCTGGGCACAGCGCTTCCTTACCGGGAATGCGCCAGCCAGCTCCTTCACTGGCTGGCGCCAGGGCTTGTTCATGGCACCACGCAGCCACAGCTGGCTGTTGGCTTTGCCGCCTGCAGGCCGTGTGACCTTGCGGGTCTCTGGAATGCAGTTCGCTCCGTCAGCACAGGCTCAGTGAGAGTCACTGGCCCACCAGGCACCTGGCCCTGGGGATGGATGTGGGGACAGCAAATCTGCCCTCAGGGAGGGGACGAAATCAAGACTCAGGGTACCATATTCACGCGTCACCATTTTAACGATAATGATGACCCCTTATGTTATTCTCAGTGACTAAGAAAAGTGAAGAGAGGACCTGGGACTGGTCCTGAGCGGTGACACTTTAAAAGGGGGTGGGCGGTTGAGGCACCAACGGACAGACCCCCAGGGCAGGCACTTCCCCAGCTTTGCCCAACAGGCTTTTCAGGGACTGATTAACCCTGACCCGTTCCTCGGACTCAAAAGCAGATGTTGCGGAGAGACCCGAACCTCGGCTGTTTTTCCAAGGAGCCCGAGGCGTCCCGAAGTGGGTTCTGTTGTTGACGCGTCTTTTCACGGGCTTCTGAAGTTGTGTTTGGAGCAGCAGATGTGAGGCACTGTCCTCTCGCTGTCCCACGGATTGTTCACTGTTCTGAGAAGGTCACATCGTAATTCATTAGCGTTAATTAGTCCCCCGGCACCCCAGCACCTCTTCGCTCAACAGCTCCATTAACTCGGGTGTGAATCACACGTTCCGGGCGCCAATCAAGGAAAATTTGTCCATAATGTACAAGGTGATGCTATTAGTTGCAATAATTAACTGCCTCATTAAAAATACAAAAGCTGTCTTTATGAAGGGCAATTAAACACTCAGCATAATTGATAATTCATAACCCTCTGATTAGGAAAGACAAATACTAAGAAAGGACCACATTGCCTGGGCTATTGATTAAGATGCTGTCAGCCTCTGGGCCTGCGTCCACTCTGCCGCCAGCAGCCCCGCAGACTCCTTCCCGAACACTGGATCCGCTCCGGTGCCCCAGGGGCCTGGAGGCTGGTGAGAACGTGGCGGCATGATGTCGGGTGCTGTCTGCCCCCCTCAGGGCCCCTGGGGGGGCCACAGGCCGGAGACACCCTCGGGGGAGCAGTCGGCGTGGTCTTGAGGACGGGTGCTCCCCTCCGGCCATCATTTGGACTTTGCATCAGTCAGCCAATCAGCCAACACTTGCCAGGGTCCTGCTGTGTGCCAAGCCCTGCGAGACACGTGGGGTGCTGAGGACAGCTGAGCAGACGCTTCCTGACCTCACAGAGCACGTAGGCGACCCTGATAAGACACACACTTCCGCGTGGTCCCTCGGCCTTTGCCCTTTTGGGGAAACACGTGTCCAGTGTTAATTAGGTGTGTGTGGCACAGATGCAAAGTGCAAGTGCTAGTTATTGTGGAAGGTCCAGAGAGACGGCTGGACGTTCAGAGGGCGACCTCTAGCCAGGCCAGGTGGGATGGTGTGTGCAGGAGGTGTCCGGTGGTCGCCGAAGTTGGGAGAAGGCTTGGAGCGGCGGAATGTCCCAGGAAGAGGGACTGGGGACGTGTCCCAGGTGGAGGGAGCAGAGACGTGTTCCCAGGTGAAACCTTGGGGAGTCTCAGGTGCGCCAAGTGCAGGGGCAGTGAGAAGGAGGGATGTGGGGGAATGGTCAGGTCCCCTGGGAAGGTCTGCTTCCACTCAGATGTACCAACCCAAATGCTCCGGGTTCTGTCAGGGCCCGCCTCGGGGACCTCGGGGACCTGGCCCTGGGAGTGTACCAGGTGCCCGTGGAGAAGCATTTGCCTGGCCCTCTCCCCCAGAGGCCACACACTCTGCCTGGTAACAGCACCCTCCACCTGTTTGCACCTCCAGACTGAAGCGGTCGGGGCTGAAGGTGAGGTTCTGCACCAACGAGTCTCAGAAGTCCCGCAAACACCTGGTGGGGGAGCTTCGCCACTTGGGCTTCGACATCTCCGAGAGCGAGGTGACTGCCCCGCCCCCAGCTGCCTGTCGGATCCTGAAGGAGCGAGGCCTTCGGCCATACCTGCTTGTCCACGACGGTAGGCCTGCCTGGCCCTGGGACCTGGTGGGGGTGAAGGTGCCCCCTTTCAGGTCGGGAGCTGGGAGACAGCATCCCTCTCACTTGGGCCAAACCACTAGGAAGGATGAGGTGTGACCCCCGGCTCCTGCCGCCAGCACTCACAGCCGGTGGGCTGGAGATACCCTGGGCCACGTCATCCCTGGCCTCCCACCAGGGGGGCCTCCCACCAGAGGGGCCTCCGGTTCCAGGTTCCAGGTGGCTCCTCCGGGGAGAGCCCGCATTGTCTTCGTCTGATCCAGAATAGACCAAGCTGGCGGGGCGCGGTCGGGGGTAAAATTCTAGCTCCTGGGGTGCGTGTGTTGGAGCGGGGGGCAGTGTGCATGGAGGGAGGGAGGGAGGCCGAGGACTGCAGGGCCCCGACATCCCGTGCCCGCAGCCTGGACTGTGCGAAGCCAGCCCTGCCCTGTGGCAGACGGCACAGCGTTGGCACCCTGATTAGTCTGAGAGCCAGGGAAGAGCTGCTCCGGCGGGTGGGGAGTTCTCTGGGGCCGGGGAGCGGGGCAGGGCAGCATTGCCTGCTGCCTTGGAATGTTTAAGAAGCAGAGCCCGAAGCGGTGCTTCAGAATCAGGACACTTTCCTGTCCTCGCGCCGAGGCCTCCCCTCCCCTCCTTCCTCGGCTGTTGGCGTTCTCGTCTACAGACTGCTCACCGGGCAGGCGTGCTTTTCTGCGTCCCAGCAGGAGTGGCCGCCCCCGACTGGCCGGTGCTCCGTGCGAGGCCCCAGCGTCCACTCCGTAGCTCCGGTGCCCACCAGAAACCCGAGGAAACCGGCCTTGAGAAACCAGGTCCCTCCAAGTCCCTCCTCTGCAGTCCAGGACCCCTGCCCATGTCTCCCAAACAGTCCTGAGAGACAGAGAAAGACTTGGGGGAGAATACGCCCTCCTCAGGGCAAAGGCGGCTGGAGATGGGCCAGGGGAGAGCAGGGGAGAATTCAGCGCCTGCCTAGAGGGGCAAATCCATGAGTCAGACAAGCAGACAGAGTTGGGGGGCCTCAGGGGGCTCCGGGTGCCCCCTCAGCTGTCTTCCTGCATCTGGTCTCCAGAATGCATCTGAGGCGTTTTGAAACGAATCTTTCCCCAGGTTTGATTGCTGGTGGATTTCCCCTTCTCCTCAGCATTTTACCAGGAAAAGTTTTCCGTACGTGGCGAAGCTGAAAGAATGTTACTGGAATATTTGTACGCCCATCGCCTTGATTTTACCAGTGAGGTTTTCCTGTTTTCTTCGTTACGCACCTAGCCGTCCCTCCGCCCATCCCACAGCTTAGCCTTCGGTGCGTTGCCAAGTCAACCACAGACATCGGCCCCTTCCCCAAACGCTTCAGCACGTGGCTGACTGGACGTCCATATCTGTTTACAGTTTTTTAAAGAGAGTTTGTTTATCTGTAGAGGGAGGGGACGGGAGGAAGAGAGAGAGATTTTATTTCTTTACTTTTAGAGAGAGAGAGGAAGTGGAGTGTGAGAGAGAAACATTGATTGGTTGGCCTCCCATACACGTCCTGGCTGAACTTGAACCTGCAGCCCAGGCGTGTGCCCTGACCAGGAACCAAACCATCGACCTTTCACTTTGCTGGACAATGCCCAACCAGCTGAGCCACACTGGCTAAGGCTGTGTATAGTGGGGTTTTTTAAACCCAAAATCGATATACCATAATGCAATGCAACCATCTCCAGTGTGCTTTTGCTGGGTTTTGACACATGTGCCCGTCTGTGTGACCCCCAACCCCCACCAAGATGTGGAACTTCACCCTCACACCGAAACCTCCCCCGAGCCCCTCCCAGTCGGTCCCGCCTCCCCTCAGAGGCGCCCACGGTTTGCCCTTTCTTCGTCATAAGCAAGTCTGCCTGTGGAGAGTTTCACGGTGACAGAGTTACACAGCCTCTCGTAGCCTCGGGAGTCCCCAGACCACTGCAGGCTGACAACTTGCTGGAGGGGTCGGGGACCTCCGAAAAGCTGTCCTAAGGCTGCACATCGTCACCACAGGGAGAGAATGAGGATGGTCATTCAGCCACGGGAAGGGACCTGGGACACGCTCCAGGAGAATCCAGGCTTGACCGGTGGAGCTGCCTGGGGCTCGCTTAACTGTCCCTGCAGCGATGCGTGGCCGGCCACGCGCAGTGGCATCCCCCAGGGGAGCTCCAGGGGCCTCACGTCCTGGGTTGTCCTTAGAGGTCAGTCAGTTAGGCATGGACCGCCCCTGTGACCGACCTTCCCTGCTCAGTCTCAGCGTCCCTGGGCGTCACACTGACCACACGTGGCCCAAGGCCCCGGGCCCACAACACTCCTCTCTTCAGGCAGGATGTCCCAGGGGCTCAGCAGGTCCCCGGAGCTGGTGGGGAGCCAGCCCTTCTTGGGGCCAGGGGTGCAAAGGTTGGAGCAGCCCAGCCTGCTGAGCTCTCCCTTCCTCCCACAGTGGTCGTGTGCGGGCTCCTTTTGCCCAACCGGCGGTGCTGGTGCAGCCTGCCCTTCCCACGCGGGGTGGTGTTCACTGAGCAAGCATCCTGCTGTCTGCCGTGCGCAGCCCCCGGGCTGCTTCCAGTGTGAGACCCAAACAACTGACCCGTCCCAAACGGTTCTTCCGGGTGGGTGCCCAGGGGTGGAACTGCTGGACGCTGGGTGGCGTGTGCTCCAGGTTTTGTAGACTGCCAGCCCTTTTCTGGGGTCCCTGTCCTTTCAAAGTCCTGCTTGGTGGCAGCTGCTCTGCTCCCTCCAGCACTGAGTGGTGACCATCTTTTTAATTCTCCGGCTGGTGGGTGTGGTGTGGTGTGTCCTTGTAGCGAATTCTGTTTTTTCAACCCAGAAAGGCCAGCATCTAACACTGAGAGGGATGAGGGCCTTTTTCTTCCTAGTAGCCGAACACGGGGAACACGGGGCCAGGCTCACCCTGCAGCCTTCCTGTTCGAATTTACAGTGGGGGAGGGGAGACTAGAAAGAGGAGGAAGAGGCTTTCCGAAGGGAGGGGGCTGGGTGAAACTCTGCTCTTCTTCCTCCTCGGGAGGACCCTGGTCCCCCCACACCCCCATCCCAGTGGGGTCTGGCTGACATGCGCTGACGGCCACACAGTTCGGGGCCAGCGGTGGTGACTCTGTGGAGGTTGCAGGTGGCCTCATTTCATTCTGCTGGTCCTCCAGGCAGACCTCCCTTCCCGGTGGCAAAGTCATGGGTTTCATTAGTGGCCTGTGGCAGAGAACTAAGGGGGGCTCCCAGGGTGGTGCCCGTGCTGGGGTCCCCTGAGCACGCCCATCTTTCTCCTGACAAACTCTGTAACGGTGGGCAGTTGGAATTCCCTCACCTATGAAACGGGAGTAACCTGCTTCCTTCCCGCCCCCCGGGGTGGGGATTGGAAAGAGAGAGCGCACCTTGGGAAGGAATGGGCAGACAGGAGGCGTCCACATGGGGCAGAGGCAACCACCTCGCCCTGGGCTTTATTCCTCTTTCTCTCTCTTTCCAGACGTCCGCTCAGAATTCGATCAGATCGACACGTCCAACCCCAACTGCGTGGTAATCGCAGATGCAGGAGAAAACTTGTCTTATCAGAACATGAATAAAGCCTTCCAGGTGCTCATGGAGCTGGAAAGACCTGTGCTCCTGTCAATGGGGATGGGGTGAGTCGGCCCTGGGACAGGAGTTTGCGGGTCTCGCACTTACGGGAACAAGGAGAGGAGGGTGCGGAAGGGTGGGGGCAGGGTGGGCCCAGGTGACGCCCTTTTCCCTCCCTTATCTTGCTTTTTCTCTTCAATTCTTCCTTCCTTTCTTTTAATACTTAGTGAGGAAACCCAAATCAGCAGGAGCTGGTTGGTCAAGCTTCCTTGGGGGCCCTGGGCTGGGAGAGGCGGGGCAGGGGTCCGGGGAGGGGAGGGTCCTTGCAGATGGCCAGTGCCCTTGGAGATCTTAGAGGTCAAGCATGGTCGTCGGGAGGTGAGAACCCAAGATGGGAAGGTGCACTTGTGTGGGACACAGCGGCAGGCGTTGGGCAGGCGTTGAGAGGTTGTGTCGAGGGGGCAGCGAGGCATTGAAAAGTGGGCTCGGGGGCTTGTGGGTGGCTCTGGTGCAGAGTGTGTGTGGTCCCTGTCCCACGGGGATTTGGTGACCACTGTGTTTGTCCAAGACTTTAGCATTTCTTTCTTTGCAAAAGCGTGTCAATTATTTATTTATTTGGGGGACACCCCTCGCCATCTAGACAGCACGTGGTCATGGAAGAAAAATTAGAGATTGCGTCCCCCCCCCAGGGGTTTCCTGGGCACGAGCCGTCCCCAGGGCAGGTGTCCCCTCCAGGTCAGGCTCACCGGGTCTGGCCCCCTGTTTTCTCTCGAGCACAGACTTGATGTTGTGAACAACTTTCCCTGCAGTGACCAGATGGCCCTATGGCCTGGGTATCCTGTGCGGGGAAGTCCTGTGGTCTTTTAACCCATGCCCACCGAAGGGTGTTTAGGTTGTTGCTGATTTCCTGCCAAAGTCAGGCCGGGACGAGCATCTTGGCATTCGGATGAGGTGTGTTTTTGAGCTTCTTGATGCCAAATTGCTTTTTAGGGAGCTGAGCAGGCTTATTCTGCCATCCTCAGAAGCAGCACCAGGGACTTCGAGTCCCAGGTTCTCCTAGTTGCCAGGACCCTGGACCCGCCCCAGCTTCTCATGCTGCAGGGCCAGCTTTTTGAATGGACAAGAGAGGGACTCTTGATGTGGCGACAGCCTTTGCGGAGCATTTTCTGTGCTCCATGTCGTTAATGCCAGCCACACCCCATTTCACTGACAGGTGGGCACATGGAGGTGCACAGAGGGGAAGGAGATGCCGGCCGGGCCAGCGGTCCAGCCAGAGCCTGTGCTGTCACCTCGAGGAGACACTGTAGAGCAGGCGTGTGGCCCCGCACAAGCGCTTAAGGTTTCTGAGCCCATGTTTACAAATTGGGAGACTTTACGTGCAATATCTTGGTTTCTGGGTTCTTTTGAAAAATCAGGTTGGCCAGCCCCAGGCTCCACGTTGCTGAGCGCACAGTGGCTTCGCTGGAGCCCCCACCGCGTCAGGTCCTGCCCACCAGTCCCCATTGCTCCCCACCGCCCCCTGTCCAGGCTCCAGCGTCGGTTGGCTTTGTCTTATGCTGTTTGTACACACAGTAGAGAAATACTCCTTCATGCCTTTGTCACTATCTGAGAGGCAAAAAAAAAAAAGAAGAAATTTCAGGAAAGGAAAGGCTCTATTTAGAACTAGAATATTCTAGTGCGTTTATCATACACATAAAATGTATCCTGTTTAGTGAGGTTTCTCCAGAAAAACCGAACAGGATGTGTATATATATATATGGAGAGAGAAAGAGAGAATTTTTTTTCCTTTTTAAAAAAGATTTTATTTATTTATTTTTATAGAGAGAGGAAGGGAGGGAGAGTGGCAGAGAAACATCAGTGTGTGGTTGCCTCCCCTGGGGCCCCCTACTAGGGACCTGTCCCGCAACCCAGGCATGTGCCCTGACTGGGAATTGAACCAGCAACCCTTTGGCTTGCAGCCCGCACTCAATCCACTGAGCTACACCAGCCAGGCAGCGAAAGAGAGAAATTGATTGTGGAGGGCAGGCCAGTGGCTGGAAACTCAGGGCCAAGTTGCATTGTGAGTCCAGAGGCAGAGTCCTTCTTGCTCAGGGAGGCCAGACCTCGGTCCGTTCAGGTCTCCCACTGGCCAGAGGAGGCCACAATGTGATGGAGAGCCATCTGCTTTACTCGCAGTCCTTGGGTTTAACTATTAATCTCATCCAAGAAACCCAATCTCAGGAACATCCAGACTCATGTTTGACCGAATACCTGGGCAGCTTGGCCCAGACAAGTTGACACTCACAACAAACTGTCACTGTCCTTTGGAGACCTGACGGCCTCCTGCAGTGGAGGTCACTGCAGAGCACAGAACCCGGCTTGCTTCAGCGCTGACGCTCCGGGCTTGGTCCTTTGGGAACCCCTCAGTGACCGACCCATCCCTGGAAAACAGCATAATTAAGAAGCTCTGTTGCAACTCATTTATGTGAATACTTTGTTCTTTAAAATTGTCTCTAACCATGAAAAGCTATTCCAGATCATGGGTAGTAGTCAAAATAGATATGTTGTTGAAAAAGAAAAAAAAACATGGAGTCTGTTGCTTTTGCTTTGTAACTCTTCTATAACCAATTCAGTAGCCGGCTCATTTGTTCTGCAGATAAGCAGTGAGCGGGGTCTCCAGCTTGACGGGGTTCTGCCTTGACTTGGGGTTGGATGCTCAGAAACAAGAAAGAAAGGACAGCTTTCGGGTCTCAGGACAGCCAGAGGACCTGTGAAAGATGCTGCCACGCCCACCCAAGCGGGGTCACTGATGGTGGGGGGCCGGTCTCCACGGACGCAGGGCTGAGCAGTGCCCCGAAGAAGGTGGGACTGGTGGGCTTCTCTGGGGCAGAATGTCCTGCTCTGGAAACAGAGTGATTTACATTGGGCATCTGTTTGGACAGAGAGTGGGAATTGCCTTTGTAATTTCGTCTGTCATGCTGCCGTCAGAAAATTAAGCTGTTTACGCAACAGACTATGGAAGGTTAATGGCTGTTGTAGGAAAGGTCAAGTGATCATTTTGAAGGGAGGCTGTGCTGAATAATCGGAAGAGCAGAAGAATAAGGCATAGAATCTGTCTGCCTGCTGCTCCAGGCTTCCTCCCGCCTCCCCAGCACCCACCGTGCTGTTTCTGCCGATGGGGGGGAGACCCGCCTGGGACCTGCCTGGGACCTGCCTGGGACCCGCATGGGACCCGGCCAGGCCCACCATTGCTTTTCTCACGCCAGTGACAGAAGACAAATATATCCAGTCTCTTGTGTTTGGGGAATAACTTGGGCTTTTAGGTTTAAAAAAATTAGCTTAGGTACTTGTATTTACTGTATCTCTAAAAATGTTTCAGCTCTCAGATAGTTTACAAAGTACCTTCTTGTTTTCCTGAATGAATAAGAAATTTAAAAAAAATTGGGGGCACTATAGCAATAAGCCCAGATTCATTTAGAAAAGAACTATGAAGGTTTCTAATTTTGATTTGGGATGTCAGTTTTCTCTTTAGACTCTAAAAATTCACGTTACAAAGGGTTTTTTAAATTTTATTTTTTCATTACAGTTTACATTCAATATTATTCTATATTAGTTTCAAGTGTAAAAGACAAGGTTTTGATTGAGTATTTTAAGCTGCATTTTCAGTTTTCTTCTCCCATTAGGACTCAATTTAAATGTAAGAAAGTCCAGATTTCTGTCCCTTTGGAAGAGAGACTTGCAGGCACATGAGACAGGCAGAAGTTGCGCTGTGTGTCTGTCCCTGGCAGGCTTCTCCGAGGGCGAGGCGCCCCCAGCCTCTGCCTCCTCCAGCCAGGCCCAGGCCCTGGGCCAGAGCCCCCCCCCCCCCCCCCAGTCCTCAGCTCCAGACAGAGCTGCGCCTGTTGCCTCAGGGTGCTGTGGTTTGGGAACTTTTTCTTTGGCTTCTGGGTTAGCCACTGCCCCCTCTTCCCTTCCTGCAGTGCTCACCAGGCAGAGGGTGAGGGGCCCGGGGGTGGCTCTGGGGCGCCTGATGCAGGCTGCACCTGGAGCAGTGTCCTCCCCTGCCACCCCCATCCTCGGTGGAGGGCCATCAGTCCATCCATGAGGCGTCCGGGCCTGGACACTCCCATTCCCTCCCCTCCCTTAGTTTCAGGTCTCAGCTGTGATGTGTCCTTCTCTGGGACGCCCTCCGGTCTCCTTGTCCCCAGGCTGCCCGGCCACTCAAGCAGAGAATGCAGCGCACATGGGTCACCTGCTGTCGCCCTTGTTCTGCCCTTTCATACGTGTCCACAGGCTTGTCTGCTTCCCTTCCAGACCAGGCGTCCCCGGGAGGGAGGGGGCCTGAGTCTGGGCAGGCCCCTGAGTCCCGCAGAGGGCTGTGGGGGGCCGTGTCCTCCATGTCTGGGGGGCTGATTGACGGAGCCAGCCATGGCACCCATGATCACAGGCCCCAGCAAACCAGCATGTCCCCCTTCCCCTCGGCCACGCTTTGTTCTGCTCTGCTCTGCTTTACAACTCTGGACCGAGCTAAGGAAACTGTCCCACCACAGTATTTACTGTAGAAATGGGGAAAGTAAAAGAAACTTGTAAAAGGCTGTATGAATGCAGAATGCTAGTCTATATCCCGGGTGTGAGAGGAAGACAGTTACGAACCTCACAGCCTGTGTTTTGGGGTCGCCCTTCAAAAGGGGGAGCATCTGCAAGTCCCGGCTCTAAGCAAATGGCAGTGCTCTCAGCACAGCAGGCACCCTCCTCAACACATGCAGTGTCCCCTCTGGCCCGTGTCCCTGTGTCCCGGTGTCCCTGTGCAGTGCCCTGGAGGTCACAGAGCCTCGGACCCTGGCGAGGAGGCCTGTCGAGGCCAAGGGTTTGGCTGAAGCCCTGCAACCCCCTTTGCCTCCAGCCCACAAGGTACTGTGGCAGATGATATAGACCCAGTGCTTGCCCTCCTGAGTGCCCGGTGCATGGGTGCTGGCCGACAGGGCAGAGAGGGACAGGTGGGGGCAGGGCCCGGCCTGGAGCAGCTCCTGGGAGCTCGCTCAGCTCCCTCCCTGCAAATGGGCACAGAACAGGTTCCAGGCCCACAGGCTGGAAAGACCCCTGTTCTCCTTTCCTCCCCAGCTCACCTCTGCTTGCCTATTTCTCATTCTCAGTCTGGGTGAACACTTGTTTCTACTAACATTCTCTTTTTTTTTCTGAGCAGTTTCCACATGGGAGGCTTATGTTAAGGACTTCGCATGTGTTATCTTGTTCAAGCCTCAGTACAATCTGTGAAGTAGGTACTGGGGTTTTCGGGCCCATTTTACAGATTAGGAAACTGAGGCCCAGATGGCTCAAGCAGCCCAGAGCCCCTCGGTTAGAAAGAGGTGAAGAGAGGCTCTGACGGCTGGAGCCAGAATGCTTCACTCTTCTCCACCTTGGCCCTGTGCACACACGTGGTTTAATGTCTCCCAGACTTGAAGGGCGTGGGCAGGAGGAAGGGCGACCGAGAGGTGGCTCTCCCAAGAGCCCAGCCATCTCTGTCCCCAGTGAGAAGGGAGATGTGGCTGTCTTCTCGTGAGGGCATCTGGTGCCCACGGGCCTGGCACATCTCTTGGCCTCTGGCTCACAGGCTGTGCAGCAGGGTCCGGCGGAACTGATGGGCTTTTCCTCTTCAGACACCCGTTAGGGGTTAATTGTTGCTGAGTGGGGGTTCTGTGGGCTGCTGTCCTTTCCCAGGACACAGGTCTGTCATCTTTCTCTGTGTTAGCAATGGCGTCCATCTGCCCCTCGGTCCCCCGTCAATCACTGTGGCAGAGTCCCCACAGGGTTGCAGCAGGAGGCCCTTCTGACTGCGACCTGCTGGCCCACTGTGCCCCCAGCCCGGGCGTGGAGGCCCACGACTAGCCATCTCCGCCCACCGCCAGCCACCTCAGTGTGGTGCCGGGACGGACCCACCCCCTGACCAGCACAGGACAGGGCAGTCTCCCGGGCACATCCCGGCGCCTGCCCCCAGCTCACCTTGTCCCCTCTTCTCGTTTCAGACGCTACTACAAGGTCACCTCGGGCCTGAGGCTGGACGTTGGTGGCTACACAAAGGCACTCGAGGTACGGGCCCTGGGTCCGTCCAAGCTCTCGGGGTTGCCTGGGATGTTTCTGGTCTTGTGCAGGAGGGCGTGTGCTCGCTGTTCGAGTTGCTTTTTACGTTTTCAGGGTAGGCCCTCGTATTTGGGGCTACATGCTGAGCAACCCCTGTGCCCTGCCTGGAGCTTGACCCTCCTGGTGGCCATGGTCACTCTGTCCTCCATTCCCCCCTTTCCTCCACACCCCCTGTGATGACTCAAACAGGCTGCCCCAGTGTGCCCTCTGCCACCCCCTCACGGACTCCAGCTGCCGAGTCTGTGTGGCCATCCACCTCATTCCTGGTCCTGCTCCCCGGCAGCACCTTGAACTTGCCAAGTCTGACTGGACTCCTTCCAGACTCCCTCCACCGATTTTGAAGGCCAGGCCCAGATGGGGCTCTCCAGTGCCCCTCTGACCCTCACCTGCTCAGCTGTCCCAGCCTAGGCTCCTGCCCCAGGTCCCCTGCTGTCACCTGCCACCCTCACTGCTCCATCAGCTCCTGCCTCCCTGCGCTCAGGTGGGAGGGATGGAGAGATGAGAAATGCAGCAGCCCTGGCCCCACCCCCACCCCTGCCCTGCCCCGCTCCACAACGGGGCTGTGACAGAGCTGGCCCGGGCGGGGCAGAGAAGGGAGCGGGAGAAACAAGAGTACAAGTGAGAACACCAGTCAGGGGTGGCCCACAGGTGCCTTGCGACTTTGCCAGCTGCGGGCCACCTCCCACTACAGTTGGATGTCTGAGCAAGAGGGCGGGGCGCCGGGTGGCAGGCCCCGAACATCCTGGGTAGCCCCACGTGGCGTCCTCATGCTCCCCCTATCGGGTGTGTCCCCGGACCCTGTCCTGTGTCCTGCCCCTCGGAGCCCCTGGCCCACAGGTGCACATTCGGGGCTCCAGCCGGAGGCCTTCCCTGCATGTCGGCGCTGTGTTGCCTTGTCCCAAACCCACGCTGTGCCCCTCTCTCCTCCAGTACGCCTGTGGGATCAAGGCCGAGGTGGTGGGGAAGCCTTCTCCCGAGTTCTTCAAGTCTGCCCTGCGGGAGATGGGGATGGAGGCCTCCCAGGTAGGTCCTGCTCTCGGAGCGCACCTGCGGCAGCAGTGTCGCTGGCGGGGGGGTGGGGGCTCCAGCAGCCTCGTCAGCCAGGTGGCCATGAGACCTGGTTCGGCGGGAAAGGGGGAAAAAGACAGACTCGGAGGCCCACTAAGTGATTTAACCTGTTACGTGAGTTTCAGCCTGAGGGTCGGAAACAGATGCCTGTAGCCTCAGTGACCTTTGCTGCTTCCCTCAAAGGTTCAGAGTCAAAAAATCCTTTCAGTGCAGCGGAAACATTTTGTTCAGAAGACAACATACAGCGAGATTAAAACGATGCACGAAACAAAACCTCGCTTCTTGCCACCTTTGCACAATGACTATTTTGAGACAGATTGCGTTCTGAACATGCATCTTAAAAAGACAAAAAGCAGTTCTGATTTCATGGTCCACGGTGCCCCTCCGCCCAGGTCCCCGGCAGCTGGAGTTTTCCTGGAAGCATTGTTGGAGGAACCGGGCCCCGGGCGGCCCTGCTGCCTGTTTTGGGCTGGCCCCAGGGCGCAGTGTGGCAAGACTGGTGCCCCAGGGCTGCCACGGCCTCCTGGCTGGTGGACCTGAATTTGCCGTGGGGGCTGCAGTCCTGGGCACTGGTCTCTCTCTCGGTGCTGAGAGGAAGGCAGCCACGGCCACCGGAGTCTGGAGCCCCTGTGCTCTGCCCCATGGCTGGTCACAGATGGCAGGAGGCCCAGAGCTCAGGGTCTCCAGGAGACACCCCGGAAACGCCCTGTGGGGCTGGTCGAGACAGCGGGGCTTGTGTGTGGAGGATGAAGACTTCGGGAGTAAATGAACTGTTTCTTCACGGCTTTGCTTCCTAGGGCAGCCTCTCTCCTCCTCCTGTGACAGATTACCACACAAACGCACACGAAAGCAGAGAGGATGACACAGCATCCCCCCATACATCCCTTCGTCACCCAGATCCCGCAATGACAAGGTTTTGCCAAGTTTCCTTCTTCTACCCCCTTTCTTCCTTTTCTTTCATTTTTAATAGGTTTATTGACTTCAGAGATCGAGGAAGGGGGGGAGAGAGAGAAACAGTGTGAGAGAGAAGCACCCATCGGTTGCCCCTGTGCCCGCCCCGACTGGGGATGGAAGCAGCAGCCTTTGGTGTGCAGGGGACGCTCCAACCAACTGAGCCACCCAGCCAGGGGCCCTTTTTCTTTCTTTTAAAGGATTTACCCTTGCATTTCTAAGCAGACTTACTACTATTGTATCCTTTCTTATTATAGTATGTCTTTCAAGAATAAAAGGTATTTTAGACACAGCCTAACAATGCTCTAAAACACCTAACAAGGGCCAGGAAGCACGCAAGTGATGCTCAGCCTCGTGTTTCTGGGAAAAGGCAAGTGAGAACCACAACGAGGTCCTGCCTCGCACCCACTCAGGTGGCCGTACTAGTGAGGGAAGAAACGAAAAAACGGAAAAGAACAAGTGTTTGGTGAGAATTTGGGCCCCCCATACAGGAATGCTCGCAGGGATGTGACATGGAGCAGCCACTGGGAAAGCAGTATCTGCACAAGTCACGGACGGTCACGCACAGCACGCACACTCACGCACAGAAGCGCCACACGACCCAGCAGCCTCGCATCGGAGCACATACCCAAAAGAATCGAAAACCGGTATTCAAATAAAAACGTGCACCCGAATATCCATAGCAGCATTATCCACAATGGCCGAAAGATAGAAGCAAAGCACATGTTCATCAACAAGTGAATAGAGAAACAAAACGTGGCGTATTTACACAGTGGAATGTTTCAGCCAGAAGAAGAACGAACCACTGCCACATGCTGTAATGTGGGTGGAAACCACGGTAAGTGAAGGGAGCAGGTCACCAAGGCCACCTCTTATATATTATATTTACACAAAACGTGGGAAAGCCCAGAATAGGCAAATCCATGCCAACGTAAAACAGATTAGTGGTTGCGGAGCAAGGGGGTGGAGAGGGGCTGCATAATGCGCATGAGGGGTCCTTTGAGGTGAGGGACCTAGTCCAGCGCCTCTGCCTGCTGGATTCCGCAGGTCGGCGGCAGGGCCAGAGTCTGCGCAGCTTGCTGACGGGCACTCTCTAGGTGGTGGCACAGAATGTCCGGTTGTCTCTTTCTGTGGGGTTGGTGGCTATGGAGGATGGGTCCCCAACTCTGTTCCTCCCTTCAGAGGTGCAGAGTGGTGATGTCTGAATCCTGTCATTCCCCCCACCCCGTTTTCCCCCCGGCAGCTTCTCTGCAGGAGAGCCCCCCACCAACTCTTTGTTACCCTGGGGTACAGCTCCCGCAGGAAGCCAGATAGTTCCCTGACTCTTTCCCATAGTCATCAGTGTTTGCGATAAGGAGGTGATTCTCTGACATCCTCCTGAAGCGACAAAGGAGATTTAAGAATACATGCATCGTTATAAAAAATGGAGGTAAACCCATTCAAGGTGTTTCGGCCCATGCAGTTACTGCCTTATCTTCACCAGGGCAGGGACCATAGTAACTCACCTGTGACCTGTGGGAGCCCTCATGGTGGCATCTGAGCCCCTTAGCCCTGACCCTGGGTCTCAGGTCCTTGGCTCCCTATGATGACAGAGGTCCCACCTCTGCTCTGCATCCTTCCCGGACTCTGCCACCCTCCCAAGGAGCCACGCTTGCCATCAGTGTTTAGAAACCATGATCAGGGACTTCCGGCCAAGATGGCGGCATAGGTGGAAACATTGTGCCTCCTCGCACAACCAAGTATAAAGACAACAAAGTTGTAGTACCAAAAACACAGCCAAAACACAGAAAATTGAACTGTAAGGAAGTCTGACAACAACGAACCCTTCAGCCAGACCAGTAAGAGGGGCGGAGTCAGCGGCGGAGTGGGGTCGGGCAGGACAAATCGGCCAGACCAACCCAGGAGTGCAGGCAGAGTTTGGCAGATCCCAGGCGTGGGGTGGCAACGGGCAGACCCAGTGAGGGCGTAAGGCGGCTGGCTGACCGCTGTCACACATTCACGCACAGATAAACCAGCGAAGGAGCAAGCAGTGAGACAGACTGCGCAGGCCAGGGCCCCAGCGATGGGAATTAGAGCCTGAAAGCACCAATTAGAAAGACTTTTGGGGTCAAGATGCCGGGTGAAGATCCCGGGCTCATAGAGAGTTCGTTGGAGAGACCCACAGGGTCCTGGAGGGTGCACAGGCCCACACTCCTGGGAACCAGCACCAGAAGGGCCCAATTTGCTTGTGGGAAGTGGCAGAGGGGACAGAAATCTGAGAGAGGGAACAAACACCATTGCCCCTCTGAACCCACCCCCACATACAGCATCACAACCCAGCGAGCTGGGTGGCCCCACCCTGGTGAACATCTAAGGCTCCGCCTCTCATACATAACAGGTGCAAACAGACTGAAATATTATGGCTCAAGAACAGCTCAAAGCCCCAGAGCCAGTAATTCTAAGCGACCAAGAGATAGCCAAACTTTCAGATGCGCAGTTCAAAACACTGGTGATCAGGATGCTCACAGAATTGGTTGATTTTAGTCATAAATTAGAGGAACAAATGAAGGCTAAACTAATTGAAATGAAGGGAATTGCACAGGAAACCAATAGTGATGGAAATGAAACTGGGACTCAAATCAAAGGAGTGGACCAGAAGGAAGAAAAAAATGACCAAACAGAAAACAGTGAAGAAACAAGAATTCAAAAAAATGAGAAGAGGCTTAGGAACATCCAGGACATCTTTAAATATTCCAACATCCGAATTATAGGGGTACCAGAAGGGGAAGAGGAACAGCCGTGAGTGGAAAACTTATTTGAAAAAAAAAATGGAGAATTTCCCCAATCTGGCAAAGGAAATAGACTTCCAGGAAGCTCAGAGAGTCCCAAAGAAGTTGGGCCCATGAAGGAACACACCAAAGCACATCATAATTATATTACCCAAAATGAAAGATAAGGAGAGAATCTTAAAAGCAGTAAGAGAAAAGGAGACAGTTACCTACAAAGGAGTTCCCATAAGACTGTCAGCTGATTTCTCAAAAGAGACCTGACAGGCAAGAAGGGGCTGGAAAGAAGTATTCCAAGTCATGAAATCCAAAGACCTACATCCAAGATTGCTCTAACCAGCAAAGCTTTCATTTAGAATGGAAGGGCAGATAAAGTGCTTGTCAGATAAGGTCAAATTCAAGGAGTTCATCATCACCAAGCCCTTATTATATAAAATGTTAAAGGGACTTATCTAAGAAAAAGAAGATGAAAAATATGAACAGTGAAAGGACAGCAAACTCAGTTATTAACAACCACACCTAAAACAAAAGCAAACTAAGAGGACAGCTAGATCAGGAGCAGAACCATAGAAATGAAGATCACATGGAGGGTTAGCAACAGGGGAGGAGGAGAAGGGGGGAGAAGGTACAGAGAATAAGTAGCATAGACGGTAGGTAGAAAATAGACGGGGAGGGCAAGAATAGTAGGGGAAATATAGAATCTAAAGAACTTGAGACACGTGGTCATAAACTAAAGGGGGGAATGGTGGGGGAGGGGTGTGCAGGGTGGAGGGGAATGAAGGGGGAGAATAGGACAACTGTAATGGCATAATCAATAAAATATATTTTTAAAAAAAGAAACCATAATTGGGACACTGGTAGTTCACGTGGCTACCAGCTTGGGCACCCTCACCCAGGCTTTTCCGTTGACAGGGCTCAGAAAAAGACCTCCCTTTAAACGTGAAATGCACTGGGGTTCCAACTGCGGATTCGGGGTCTGGCCTGTGGGTTTTTACTCCATGTCCTCAGTCTTCCATCTGGGTCCCCTCTGCCCACGTCGGAAAGCCTGTCTCTCGAGAAGGCCAGCGTGAGCAGCCACTTGCTCAGGTCTGCAACACACCCACAGGCCGTGAGTCTCAAAACCGCTCTGTGCGGTGGGAGGAAGCCAGGCCCGTGAGAGTGGGCACCACGCCAGTGCCACTGAGGACAGTGTGGGGCTGCTGTGCTGGGGACCGTCGCGCTGATCACTGACGAGCGAACACGTTGGTGACGGCTCCTGCCGAAGATGTGTTTTTTTGACAGGTTTTTCCCGCTTTGAGCAGATCCCTCCAGAGATCTGTCACATTTAAAGCCACTCGGGACCGTTCCTCTCTGGGCTGTGTCCCACCAACAGGGTCCTCTTTGAACTCACCGACTTCTAGTTTTTACGGAGTTGGTTGTTCAACACCCACATCTGTGCTGCAGTTGTGTTGAATGTTTACGTGGTTCCCAGATCAGATCTGCAGAACAAAGTACATTCAAAGGGGTCTAGCTTCTGTCCCCTCCTCCTGTTCTCTTCCTCTCGGTCTCTCTCTTCCTGTGGTCCCTGCTGCTGGCCACCCAGCCCCTGGCACGTGTCGGTGGCCCTGAACAGGCAAGGAATCATGTTCCCCAGTGGCTCCGAGCACATGTGGCAACGTTGAGTCTGATTCACCTCCCACATCATCATTCTGTCCTTTGCCCTTGAACGTCAGTCCTACTGGTCCCCCAGACAGGCAGTCGAGTGGCAGCTGCATGGTCTTCACACACGCCACCCCCAGCCCAGCACTTTGCTACTGTGTTCATCAGTGCCATTTGAGCCTCAGGATGTGTAGACATTTTAAAGCAGTATTTCAACATAAGGCCATTTCAAATAAGCTGTGTCTTATGCACAAGGTGCTAATTCCCTGTTGCTGCTTCTTTACTTTTCATGAAACATGCCCGGGAGGAGCTGCCTCACTGCCAAAGTGCCAGGCTGTGGCAAACCTGCAATCTCTCAGGCTGCTTTAATCAATAAAGTTGTCAGCAGTCATTTCCCTGGATAACTGCCTCTGCCCAGACCTGCTTGCTCCTCGCTGCCGAGGACTCTGCAGTCTGCCCTGGGAGTGGGTATAACCCCTGAATCCAACTCCATTTAAGCCTTCCCTCAGTAGCCTAGAAACAACCAGTTGCCGGTATCGCTCTAACAGATGGGGGACTCAGACCTCCGAGAGGGGGCCGGGCCCTTTCTCAGGTTTGATGATAAGGGGGAGAACAGCGTGTAACTGTAGAGGTTACTTCTGGGAATGCCTAATTCTCAGGGTTTAAGGCTTCTGAACCAGAGGCTGCTTTTATTGCTTCGTCCTGAAGTTCAAATGATGTGAAGGTTTTGGCAATTTTCTGTAATCCTGAAAAATCCCATCAGCTGCGCAGGTTGAATGGGAATTGGAACTATTGAAAGCAGAGTGCTTAGTTAGTACCAGGAGCTGGGTGTACCCATTTCACCGGTGAGGCGCCCGAGGCTTGGAGAGGAAGGACCAAGTAGGCTTCAAGCAGCGCGGGTGCACGTGTCACCAACTCCTGAGCCCACCCCCAGCCCCTGCTGCAGGTGCTCGTATCCCCGTCCTGAGGACGTTCAGCACCAGGGGGCCCAACCATCTCTGGGGACAGGGGCTGTCCTGTACCCTGCAGGTGCACATCAGCACCCCTCCCCACGTTAGGAAACCAAGGGGGTGTCCAGAGATTGCCGAAGGCCTCCCGGGCAGCAGAGTGGCCTCCCAGGCAGCTGAGAACCACAGCATTGGGAGACAGTCCCAGAGAGCAGAGCATTAAGCCCAAGATTACTCTGCTGAGGGGTAAGGCCGGACCCTGTCCCCTCGGGGTGTCTGCTGCACCCCCATTCTCAAGGAGAGGTCATGTCAGAACTTCTAGGTTTGGTAAAATGAAGTTTGAAAAGGCGTATTTAGGAGCATAATATTTTCTACTGTGAAAAATGAAAAATAGTCGGCAGAATAGAAACTATAGAAAATAGAGTTAGGTCTTGGGCGACGAGGGTGCCTGCTCTCGGGATGGCCGGTCCGAAACGGCCGTGAACACCCTTGCATGTGCGTCCTTGTGCGCATGTCTGATTGTTTGCCGAGAGAGCCCAGTGGGGCAACTGTTGGGCCATGCTGTACATCGTTCATCAGCACCGTTTCTTTTCTTTTTTCTTAAAGATTTTATTTATTTATTTATTTTTTAGAGAGGGGGAAGGGAGGGAGAAACATCAGTGTGTGGTTGCCTCTCACACACCCCCTACTGGGGATCTGGCCGGCAACCCAGGCATGAGCCCTGACTGGGAATCGACCCTTTGGTTCTCAGGCCGGTGTTTAATCCACTGAACCACACCAGCCAGGGAGCACCGTTGCTTCTTACTTTTTATGAATCTGTGGTCCATTTCTGTGTTGATATTGGCCCTTACGAATGTGGCAGATTGCGGGGGGAATTACTTAGTGCTGAGCCGTCTCTGGGTGTCAGGGGTAAGGGGAGTGGGGGCCTAGGTTCCTCACAGTCTCACCCTGGGCTCATCCTAGATGTCACCTTGAGGACTCTCCATGTGGGTGTGTGACCCTGAGGCTGACACACAGACCAAGCCACTGCTGTCACCGCCAGCCCTGCTGCTTGCTGCCCCGTGGGAGGGAGAGGAGCTCCTGGGAAAACCAGGATGCTGTGAACCGTGGCTTTCTTGGGAGAGCTCATTAGCGCTCACAGACATCACATGTTAGGATGGGCTCCCCCCACCCGGTCCCTGGGACAGCATAGAGGACACTGTGGCAGGCAGACAGACCGTGAGGCAGGATGGAGGACGCACCTGCTCTGAGCCCGCACCAGAAGGGCAGCCCCCAGGGCGGCGGTGCTCCTGCAGCTCTGGGTTCCTGCGCCCGCCGGGTGGGAGGCCGGGTCCTCCTTTTACCATACAGCAGTCAGAGGGGAAACAGCCCAGGCCTGACAGGTGGGGCTTCTTTTCTTTATGTCCCCCGACAGCGCACCTCTTGACCTCTATCTTCTCACCAATGATTTTTTAAATCCTAAATGATTTGGCAATAATTGCTCCTCCTGGCGTGATTATTGCCCTTCACCGACAGTAAATTCTGTGAAATCCCCAGGGCCCAAGTGCATTCTGGTATTCAGAGCCCACACGCCAGCCCAGACAAGCCTTGCCGCCCCAGTGGCCGCGCCCCTGGAGCCCCTGCACTCTGCTCCCCTCCAGCCTCACTTGGGCTGCTGGCGCAGCCGGGGCCTGGGCATCGGATCATCACACAGAATCACAGCCGCTGCTCCTCCGAGATCCTGCAGGGGCCCACGTCTCCAGGCGCTACCTGCACGGGCCACAGCCACACAAGTCCTCACCCAGGAGGACCGGAGTCTGTTCCGAGGGGGAGAATTCCTCCTGCCTTGGGGGTGGGCACCGGCACAAGTGAGCATGCACAAAATTGGACTCTTCCCCAGAAGCATGGAGGGTACCAGGCAGGACATGTGGCAATTGGAACGCTCATTCCCTAAGGAACATCCTAGCTCAATGTCCTGGGAGTCTCCAAGAGCACTGGTCGGGGTCCTAAGTCGGAGCATGGTGACTGCCCAGCAGCCGACCTAACGGTTTCAGGACAACCCCTTGAGAAGGACAACGTAGAATCTCGCAACGAGGTTTACGGTCGGCCCGGCCACCTGGGCCAGGCCCCTGCCAGCGCCCGCACCAGCCCTCTCCCCCCGGGCGAGCCGTGTGGTTGCCCCAGCGGCCCTGGCTTTGCAGGCACCTAAGAATCACCTGTGGGCCCGTGGGCTCTGCTGCGGACTCTGCCGCCAGTCCCGTGTCGGAGACCACATGTTGCCCCTGCGGTTTCTCCTTTGGTGACTGGTGGCTCCCACACCTCGGCATGGGGACATGGGGACACCAACACCAAACCTAGGTGGGTTTGGCAGTGTTTTCTCCAACACCAGTCTTTCTGGAACAAAGAAATTCTGCCTTTACCATGTGTGGGCACTGGCCTCAGACTCTGCTGTTTACTTAACGTCTCTTTACACCGATTCATTTTCAAGCTTCAATCACGCACTTCGAAGGGAGCATTTATCACCATTGTAAATGGAAAACCGGAATCACTCATTTAATGTATCCGGGTGACTCCAGGAAAATATGGAACAAATACAGTAAAAATGTATATCAGTCCTTGTCCCACGTAAAATGATCATAAACAGTATGTCACCAGGATACAGAGCTCACTTTGACAACATGGGATTACGTGGAAAAAGGTTAGAAAAAACATACCAAAATATCTGCCGTTGAGAAGATTCACCGGGAAGAGGGCAGTTGATTTCGGCTCTCTCGTGAGTCTCGCGGTGGGTTGTGGCTGCCAGCAGCAGGCAGAACTCTCAGCGCTGGTGGTCAGTGGCCACCTCCTCTGAGCTTTCCCTGGGTCCAGCGCCCGATGGCTTCTCTCACGGAAGCCCCTCTGGCCTCGGCTTGAACATGACTTAGTGACAGGGGCTTGCGGTCCTCGCCCATTAGAAAAGCCTCCTGTTTACCTGGAACTACCCACCTCTATCGGTGCAGCGCCGGCTCAGTCTGGGTGCTTTTCCACAAG